CAGAACCGGGGTCAATTGCGGAAACACGGTCGATGGTGCTGAAAATCTTAGCACCGGCGGAAATAGCAGAAGCAAAAGCCTGGGTATTGGGAGCAACGTTTCCAATGCTAAAGGATCCAATAACAATCGCAAGGAGGATGTTGATGATGGCAGACAGGTCCGTTTCACCACCGACGAGGAAGCGTGATCCCATCCAAAACCCGAGACCGTAGTTTGAGTACATGATAGCCATCATGGAGCCAAACATGATGCCCAACATCATTTGAAGCCTGCGACCCCATTTTCTCGCTTCCTTCAAATGCACTTCGTATTGTCTTGCAAGTTTCTCTTGGGTTCCAAAGGCAGTGGCATTTCTGATAGAGCTGATCACTTCTTCTGCGACGGTGCCTCCTTCACCATAGCTTACCAATGTCATCCTCCCAGACTTGACCACGAACCTAGATATACCACCCATAACCACAACCATCGCAACGATAGTCGAGCTGCAGATCAGTGCGAGTTTCCAGTATCTGACGTATCCGATAATGAAGGCGCTGAAGAAGGTCGATAAGGCAGTCAGAGTCAAGCCGACCTTTTCTGATATTCCATCTTGAATAAGATTCGTGTCTGCAGTGATGCGGGTGGTGACTTCTCCGGCCCCAAGCTTATCGAAGAAACCGATGTTCTGGCGTAGGATGGCATGGAGATATTTTGCACGTATCTTCTGAGTGATGTGTTCACCCACGTAGATGAAACCCACGGTGGATATATAGAGGAGAATAAGCTGGGCGATTCCAAGGTAGACGAAGTAGAGGGAATTTCTCGTTAATATACTATTGAACTCATCATAGGTGATTCTATGGAGCGCAATATCTCGGAATGTACCTGCGAGGGAACCAAAAAGGACCTATAACATGTCAGTCATTAAAATAAACTTTCGTACTTGGGCGGTATACATACTGTGAATAGTGGTAGGGCAGCACCGGCTGCAATAGAAGCTAAAGAAACGATGGCGAGGAATATCATATCGTTCCTGGTTGCATATCGAAATAATGTGCCGTAGGTAGCCTTGACCTCTGGGATGAACAACTGCTGCTTGAGAACCTCTCGTTCGTGCTCCGGCAGGTGAGCAAGTTGAGCATCTAGGTCCTCCGGGGTCGAGCTTTTTGTGGCATCCGAGTTCCCCTTCTTAGTAGCCTTTTCCTTGTCGGAAGTTGATGAAGCCGACGAAGCTGGGTTGCGATTTTCCTGCTTGCTGACTCCGTCATCCTGGGTATTCGGCTTCTCGCTCACTTCAGCCATATTTGCCGGAATATATCTAGCTTGTTAAAACAAGAAAGAAGATTAAGAGACGGTATAACCTCTTCAAAAGAGGGCAGAGGCCGGTGAGGTAAATCAGGTCATGCGGTTCTCAGCAGTCCGTTGAGCGACGATGCAATCAACAGCTGGGAACGGCCCGAGCAGAGCAAGACGGCGCTCGCTGGGGTGATTTTTCCGCAAGGTAGTTCAAGGTAGATGCTGGCGAAGATGATATGAATCCACGGCCAAGCATAGGAGGGGGAGAAACTGCCAGGTCCTTTATGTACCTCGATGCCATCTGGTGGGAAAAACCAGGCCCACCCGCGCTAAAGGGGGTGTTCATTCTCCGGGCAGCCCCATATCCGTCATGGAGAACTCTGGAACTCAACACACCCCTGCACGGAGTCTGGAGACGGAGTATCCGAAGAGAGTTATGCCTTTGGTACCAACCTTCACTAGGTTAAAAAATACGATACTGCTGGCTGGCCGCTTGGCTGCCATGCGACATCAAGAAGCTTTATCTGAGAAGCTTCCTCGCCTATCATTTGCGTCCCTCGTCCACGGTATGATGGCGCCCATAGCGTATCGACCGCTCGTTACACAAGCTGCGTCGTTACATCATCGAGGTGCTTATAAATTACTTTGTTGAGGCGCGTGCAGAGTGTAATACCTAATACAGTCACAGGCATAAAAAAAGTTATGCATCTTTGAAAACTTCGGTTGACTCACCTCGAATACGAGCCAGCGAATAAGATGATTTGGTCGCAATCATATCTCAATCGGGGACATGGGTCGTATAGATATTTTTATGCCAACAGACGGACTGCGTGCGCAGACACCAGTCATATCTACATACTCCGTTCTTTTGCATGGATTATTGTGTTATTCGCGAGTTTCAGGTGGTTGCCAACGTTTCCAGGGTGGCCAGGCAGCAAAGTGAAGTGCGTATTAATGATGTTGCTGAATGCCGCGCAAAAAGCTTAACTCCGGAAGGGATCCAGCTGCTTAACTACCGCATGTTCAATCTATCCGATGCCCGAGACTAGGCTGCAGCATTTCGTTGCCTTCCCCGGCTTGCCCCGAGTTGAATTGAGGGAGCCTGCTATACGGAGTACTCAATCCTCAATACGCCATACGCCGTAAGTTGGCATGGACCTTTGCAGATTTGTTGAATCCTGATTTCTACTGCTCAAGTTTGAAGAACAGACATTGATTGCGCTTGTATGTAGATCAATCCGCCTTGGAAAAATCCTTTAAAGTCGTCGGCAGCCGAGTAGTTAATCGACTGGAAAAGCATGGATGCTAAGCAACGCCGTGGGAGGATGGCTCTTGCGCTAAATCCAGTTTGGTCTCCGCTCGCTTAGAGACTGAAGGGAGCGAAAGTGGCTCACCCCTGATCCACTTCCCATTACAGATCCGTTTGGCAGACAGCTGAAGCTCAAGAGCCCCATTCTACTCCGTATCTCGACGTCCCCCCCTATTTCTGACGGAACTTGATTTGACCGCCCAAAAGGGATGTCGGACACCACAGGACAGAACGAGCAAGCACTGTGGTGGCGGTAAGGAGACCTTGCCCTAATCTAAAAATATCCAGTTTAGTCCAAGCTTTTCAGGGAAGTGCTTCGCTCCTCGTTTACTCGTTTACCGAGATGAGGACAGAGGATGCGTTATATTTGTCATTCGGCGGATACGGGGGATCGAGCGTTCCGTGGTCCTCACCGAGTTGGACGCCGCCCAATCCATCGTCCTGCGTGCCTTGAATAGGCATCACGGATCGCTCCGAGTCAATCAGGCATCAACGATAATGATGATGATCACCAGTCAAACCGTAACCCTAAAAAGAAGACTCATAGTTAGTCTTCACCTCGAGTTGTCAGTACCCTCGCGTATGCATCTCCCTGGACGTCAATTTCCGACCCTGGACCTAGATGGATCAGAAACAACCAGCCCCAACGGCCAACCCAACCCAACCCAATCCAATCCAACCCGTAGAGACCTTGTAGTTAACTAGTTAGCTGCACGGCGTAGTCAGAGAAGTCCCATGCTTGTCGCTGGTTGTTTCGTCGTTAACAAAACTTTTCTCAAAGCCGAGATCAACTCAATCACGTGACATCCCAAACCAGCCAAGCGAGCCAAGCCCACTTCACACAGAACTTCTGCCTTTTTCAATTCCTGACGATAGAAAAAACTTCACGTCGCAACGCTCAAAAATATCCAAGGACGCGACAGTTCACGAAACACCGTCAAGATGCCTGTAAGTTGATTGAAGATAATGAGAGGAGCAGCGGGATGGCGTTAATTAAAGGAGTGATTGGTGCTGATCGATTCGCTACAGAGCCAGAAGTCCTTCCGCACCAAGCAGAAGCTTGCCAAAGCCCAGAAGCAGAACAGACCTATCCCACAGTGGATTCGGTTGAGAACTGGCAACACCATCAGGTAGGATTCTCTTTACTTGCGTTGGTATGGTGGTTTTGCAGATGAATGTGTGTGTGCGCGTGTCTGCGTGCGTACGGAGTAACTGGGATCAGTCGAGGGGTAGGAAGTGAAAAGTCCGCGGGGGGAGAAAATGTCGATATTTCTTGAAGCAGGAGGTCGCCAGTCGTCGACGGTACGCCGGGAGTGTTACTATGCGACGAGAGCTTGATCACTATGCCGATTTGTGGAACTGAGAAACGACGCCTATCGCCATATACCATGCAACGTCCACGATCAGATTCAGCAATAACATATGGACACACACACACATATATCTGCGAAACCACCGCTTCATATCTTCGAACATAAACTAACAAGATATCCCAACAGATACAACGCCAAGCGAAGACACTGGCGCAAGACCCGTCTCGGAATCTAAACGGTTACTCTCAGCTGCCGGCGTTTTCCACATTTCCGACTCTACATACATTCTCGTCCATTTTCATCCCAACAATTTGACGTCTCGATCCTTCGACCTTTTGACAATCACCCACATAAGTCGCACCAAGTGCTTACATCAGCTGGGGTGGAAAATGAACGATTAATGAAATGGTTCTGCTACGAGAATATGGATAGGGATAGTTAAAAAAGAAAAGCAATACAAGGAAATGTTTCCCATGTGGCTAAAATTTGTATGGTCCTGGTGCATTTATTGGACCTATAGCATATTAGACCACATCTGTAGAGAAGTAATGTAAAAGAAACACCGTCGAGGAGTGTAAAAAGTTTGTTTGTTTTTCTTTTTATTGGCTCATACTATTGATGTATTCCTGTAGTTAACTTGAACTGCGTAACTTCCCTAGCTACTGTACCGGCCGGGTGTGTTTTCCCTTGAACAAAAGCAAGAATGAGAAGAACGATGAAGATGATCATGACGACGATGATGATGCAACCAGCCCATATTCTACGAAAGAAAGGGGTAGAGAAAATAAACGATAATGTTGGGGGGGGGTAGAAGTTGAGTATTGAACAACAGGGAAAAAACCAAACGCCTCTCGTGTAATGGGGAGGGAACAAACAGGAAAGAGAGTAAAAAGACAAAAGAGTCAACATATCAAGATGGGGTAAAGAAGCCGTGTCGTTTGAGAGTAAAGATGAGACGGAACGTTTCTTTTTGAGGGAGAGGCTCATGGTCACGTAGACATCGTGTAAGGATGGGGAGGGTAAGGAGTATGCTTTGTGTGTTTTAACGGCTAGATGTGTGTGTTAGCTGGATATAAGTAGTAGAAAGCGGCAAGGAGAGAAGCTTACTCTTCAGCCCACTCGTTCTCACGGCGGATCTGGTCCTCTTCTTCTGGAGTGAAGTCGTTCTGGATGTTGAAGGTCTTGCGGATCTCCTCGGGGGACTTGCCCTTGATCATGTTTGCGACGGTCTTGCATCCAACGTCGAGCAAGGCCTTGATGTCGAGGTAGTTGGCAGCCTAGTAAGATGTTAAAACACCACCTCAATGGATCTTCTCACACGGAAGGGGTTGACGAACGAGAATGATTTCGAAGAGCATCTCCTGGTCGACCTGCATGAACTTCTGGTCCCACTCGTCGATGTCGGTGGTCTTGCGGCGGGAGTCGACGTCATCGTCACCGGTGCTTGGGGGGTCGCCCTTGTGGTGCTCACACCACTCGATGACTTTCTTGAGAACAGACTCGTTGACCTGTGGATGATGTAATTAGCTATGAAGTATGACGGAGGAGGAAGGAAAAGGTAAAAAACGCACGTTGGGAATAGGAATGGGTTCGCCGGAGTCGCCGAGATCCTCGAGCATGTTCTTGATCAAGATGGAGCGCTCAGCTACCTGGCGTTCTGTAGTCGTTGTTAGTTAGCTGGTCGCTGGTGTGGAGAGGCTGTTGCCTGGCGCCGGAGCAAGCAAGGGTGTCTGCCTACCGATAGTGACTTCAACTCCATCGGAGCTGGTCAAGGTGATCTTGTTGGTCGCAGTGGAAGCCATGATTGATCTGGGAGAGAAAGAAGAGTGTTCTGGTGGTGTCGAGGAGTGTTGGAGTGTTGTGTGTGTGTGTGTGTTCTGGTGGAAGCAGTCAGTTGATGCGCCTTACGCCGGGTAAGCAGTTCTTGAAGCTAGCTGTATGTATTGTCGTTGGAGGGGTCGGGGAAGAGCTGGGGAAAGCGAGGCGTACCGAGTGGTTTTTTATAGAGCCAGCGACAAGCGGGAGGTCAGAGGAGAGAGAAGAGCTGTCGGCTTTGTCAGCTGCTTGATGCCGGGTGTTATTATTATTGTTGTCAGTGTTGTCGTTGTCGTTGTCGTTGTTGTTGCGAGTGTTGTTTGTTCGTTTCGTTGGAGTCGAAGAAGAAGAAAAGAAGAAGAAGAAAAGAGATGGAGGCCGAAAAGGGAAAAGGGCGGCTAAAGAGTCACGTGATGATACTTTTTTCTTTATAAGCAGAAAAAAAAAGTCGATGATGAAAAGATGATGATGATGATGATGATGATGATGAAGAAGAAGAAGAGAAGTCGATGATGAAAGATGGAAGAAGATGGAAGAAAGTCAAAGAAGGCAAAGGCAGATGCTGGATCATCGACATAACGGCAGCAAAGTTACGCCTGGTTAGTTATCCGCTGGGGAGTCTCCATCTTTCCAGCAAGTTAGTTAGTTACATAGTGACTACCAGCTATAACTACGGAGTACAGAAGTGAAGGAGCAGATGTTGGCAAAAGGAGTGACAGTTAAGGGAGACAGACAGAGAAGGTCATGGACAGTGAGAGCCCAAGTAAGGGTTTCTAGGTAGATCTCTCTGGACACGCCTTGACTGCTACTCTGTGTCTACTCCGTACAACGGCTGGAAGTACTTCGCCTTCCGGCTCCATCAAAGTAGCTTTTAGCCTTTCGGATCGTAAATAACGACCAGCTAATCACTAGCCAACAATAGTCCAGATGGTCAAAGATGGCCCAGGATAGCCCAAAGAGCCCTCAGATGGCTGGCCTGAGTGACTCCGGCGGACGATGCTGCCTCGCTGTCCTCTCCCTAGCCAGCCAGTCAGTCGATACTCTGCTAGTTAGTTAGTTAGTTATGGACGGAGGAAGAGAATCCTGTTTAACTGCTGGCCATCGCCCTCGATCTCCGTGAAAAGCTTCCTCCGTGCAATCTGATGTGAGCTGTCCTTGTCATTGGCTGTTCGTATTCCATCTTCCTTTCTTCTTCTCCTTTCAGAGCCTGCATCTTCACCATCTTCCCTCTGCTGGCCATTTTTTCGTCTCTTCTCCTTGTCCCCCTGTCTGCTTGTCTGTCTGTCTGCTTGTCTGTCTGTCTGCTTGTCTGTCTGTCTGCTTGTCTGTCTGTCTGCTTGTCTGTCTGTCTGCTTGTCTGTCTGTCTGCTTGTCTGTCTGTCTGCTTGTCTGTCTGTCTGCTTGTCTGTCTGTCCAGCATGTCCTGCTAGCTGCACTGCGGCTACATCTACCAACCCACCAACTAACTCCCAAACTAACCAACTAGCCCTCTAGTTACCTGCAGTGGCTTGACTGAATGCGCGCCAGACAGACATGCCCGGCCCTCTGATGCGCCCGCAGACTCTTCTCTAGACAGCCAGACAGTCCCAGACGCGGACAAGAGAGTCCCAGTCACTCCTCCCCTCAAGATACTCACCATGTGGCGGAGGACATATCTCCTGCTCCTGCTGGTGCGCGTCTACCTCGCCCTCTGCCCAAGCTACATCCATCCAGACGAGAACTTCCAGGGCCCCGAGCTCTTTGCCGGTAAGCCCTATAGTTTCTCCCCACTAAGCCTGCATCAGTCCGAACTAATTAAACCCGTCCAGGCCGGCTGTTCTCCTTTCCGTCGCATCTAACGTGGGAATTCACCTCGGACACGCCCATACGCAGCATCTTCCCGCTATGGCTCGTCTACGGCCTGCCCATGACGCTGCTCAAGTGGCTCTGGGCAGAGACCGGCAGCGACATTCCCAACCCGCCGCCGCAGCTGGTATACCATGTCCTGCGCCTGACCATGTTCCTGCTCAGTCTCATCCTCGAGGACTGGGCCATCCATGAACTGGTGCCGAATCCGCGGCGCAGGAGGCAGGCCGTCGTGCTCGTGGCCAGCTGCTATGTTACCTGGACATATCAGACACATACCTTTTCAAACTCGCTGGAGACGCTGCTGGTGCTCTGGAGCTTGGTCTTGATACAGCGTATTGTCGAGAACAAGGTGGGTTCAAACTATGCAATGGTCTATATAAATATATATATATATATTGGTGCTGACATGACATCTAGCATCGGTCGTCGGTGTTTACTTGTGCTTTTCTCTCGCTTGTGGTCGTCATGGGCGTGTTTAACAGAATCACTTTTCCCGCTTTTATCATGATACCCGCACTGCAGCTAGTGCCTCATTTCATTAACAAGTACGTACCATCTATATATACCTATATATGTATATAGGTATATATATACTAACAACCGATAGACCCCTCTCATTAATTTCCCTCGCATTCTTCGGCCTGTTATTCTCCTTCTTCGCCATCGCCATCGACACAGCCTTTTACACCCTCCCGGACTCCCTCTCAGCCTTCATCCGAAACCCAACTATAACACCACTAAACAACCTCCTCTACAACTCCGATAGCTCAAACCTGGCCTCTCACGGGCTGCATCCACGCTACAACCACCTCCTCGTCAACCTCCCCTTACTCCTGGGTCCCGCATACCTCGTTTCAATCTGGTCCCTATTCACCCGGGGCATGGTATCACCTACTTTCCACACCCGCAACACACGCGCATACTCCGCCCTCTTCGGCGCTCTAATCATATCCCTCTTCCCCCACCAGGAGGCGCGCTTCTTGCTCCCTTGCGTTCCACTACTGCTTACATGCTTCAAGCCGCCCAGGTCACGCACTTTCCTGGCTGGCTGGATAGTATTCAATTGCACTCTGGGTGCGCTGATGGGCATATATCATCAGGGCGGAGTCGTTCCGGCACAAATCCATATACCCACGCTCCTCTCTGATTCCTTACAACCATCCCAGCAACCACCTGTCAATGTCTCTGTGTTGTGGTGGAAAACATACTCCCCCCCTTACTGGCTGGTGGGAGACGGTAGTAGCATGGGCGCATTCAGCATCACGACGCATGATCTAAAGGGCATGGCGAGCGGGGAATTTATTAACAGGACGGTCTCCAGCATACCGCGGTGCACGCGCGATTCTAACCCGTTCGAGTTCCACCAGGGTCTGCCCAAGGTGAAGGTGGAAGGCGGTGACATGACGCTTCTTGTGGCGCCGCGATCAGCTAGTTTTCTAGATCGCTTTGTTGTCCCTGATGGCGGCGAGGATGAGAGCACGGATGTGCCGTCCCGAGAGATACGGCTGCATAAGCTATGGCAGTATGATAGACATGTTAACATGGATGACTTTGATCCGGGCGATGATGGGTTATGGGGGGCTGTGGAGCGGGTTTTCGGCAGGCATGGGTTGGTTATTTGGCTGGTTACTAGGCCTTGTTAGC